TACAACAATAAAAAAAGGCAAACATTTTCAACAGTGTGATCACTGATAGTGACCGTTTACACCAGGAGTAGGCAACCTTTCCCCTTTAAGAGCCGAGGGACTTCAGCTCCCAGAATCCCAGGAGCTATTGGCCAACATGGATGAGGCTTCTGGGAGCTGAAGTCCCTCGGCCCTTAAAGGGGAAAGCTTGCCTACCCCTGGTTTACACATTCCACTAAGTAGCACCAGAAAGACTAGTGAAGTACAAAGGTTTTTGTATACAGGGAAATCACTAAGCTCTATCACATGGAAGGAACAGTCTAAACTACAAACATGCCCTTCATGCTGAAATATCCACTTTCTTACGTACAGATTATGCCACTAGGAAGTAGTGACTCCAAATACCTAAAATACTTCATTTGAATCAAGCTATTTACTAGCCTGCAATCAGAACATAAAAACATATAGCCTCAACATAAAACTTAGAAATAGAGGGCAACTGGAAAGCAACAGCTTTGTATTATCAACATTTCCAGAATTAAGAAAATATTTTACATGCCACATAGACTATTTTAAATGACCTCAGTTTACAATAAGAACACACGCCAGAGGATATGGAAAAGTGTGCATTGCCTATTAAAGGTTTTCATTTCCTTTTCAAAGAGAATTATAGAATCATAGAGTTGGAAGATACCACAAGGGCCATCTAGTCCAACCCCCTGCCATGCAGGAACTCAAAATCAAAGCATCCCTGACAGATGGCCATCCAGGTGCCTCCTAATGTTGAGGTGGAATCTCTTTGTAGCTTGCATCCGTTGTTCCAAGTCCTGTTCTCTGGAGCAGCAGAAAGCAAGCTAGCTCCCTCCTCAATATGACATCCCTTCAAATATTTAAACAGGGGTATCATATCCCCTCTTAACCGTCTCTTCTCCTGGCTAAACATACCCAGTTCCCTAAGTTGTTCCTTGTAAGGCATTGTTTCCAGACCCTTCACCATTTTAGTCACCCTCCTTTGGACATGCTCCAATTTTAATAATAATAATAATAATAATAATAATAATAATAATAATAATAATAATAATAATTTTTATTTAATACCCCGCCCCTCTGAGAGCAATCGGGGCGGCTTACATCATAAAAATCATCACATAACAGTTTAAGAACAATTCTCCCCTCTCCTCCTTAAAAAGATATTAAACCAATTACAATTAAAACAAATTATAAAGGA